CTTGCTGGGTCAAAAAAGGCGCCGCTTTTTTTGGGAGGCCCCCCGGTTCCCGAGCATGGGCTCTGGATCGCCGGAGACCAAAGATCTAGGGCTCCCTTTCCCATCCGGGGATCCGAATCTTTTCAGGAAACAATCAAAAACCCATAAGAAACAAGACCAAACTGGGCCCGATTTCTGATTCGCGAAAAGTTTGACTCACCTTTAGTGGGTGAAATTCGGAAACCACTAAACACTAGGCTGAAACGCTAAGGAACCGGATGGCTGGGAGTCAGGTGGCAAACGAAAAAATAGAGTCACCAAGGATTTGCATCCCAACTCAGATAAGTGCATGGAAGTGGGTCTTTAGGCACCAATAAACACTTGCCCCAGACATCTTGCGAAGCAAAATATTGAATGAATACGGCGGTTCTCTCGTTTTTCGGCAAGGGGCATTTTGCTGCACAGATCCATTTCGGAAGAGGAATCAACTGCGCGCTTCCATTGTTCTCTATTTGCATGCTCAATGACATTGGCAAATCGTGACACTACATTTTACCGATCCCAATCACTCCATTCAATATTTACCCATATTTGCCCTTTACATGGGTTATATGTTGGTATATATTACCTACACTGGCCTGCATTTAAGAAGCTTACAGTCTTACAAGCATGTTTTTTGATTAAAAAATCTGCAAATGTTCGTGTGAAGTCAAGGTAACAATGATGAATAAGTCGTAATGAGCAGGCGTTGATGTTCGTGTAAAATTACGGTAACAAGGCTGCAAAAATCGTAAGGAGCATGTAGTGATGTTTGTGTACAACTGGTGAAAATGATGAATATGCGCTGATGTTCATGTAAATTTGCAGAAACAAAACATCAGCAATATGTGACAGTGTTTGTGAAATCATGGGGAAACAGCGGGTTCATGCTCATTTTAAACCAATGTACCTTGCTTCGTAGGATGCCAAACAAACATGGTGATGTGAGTTTTTTGGTGGTTCTGTGGTGGACAGGGGGCAACACGTTGGCAGCGCCTGTCTTGTCGTCCAAGCCAGTTCTTCCTCCCCAGGCAGACAGGCGCCAGCGATCTCATGGCAGTTTTGCAGCTCCTGTCTCCACTACCAGGGCGAGCACGGTCCTCCTCCCCCCAAACAGACATGCGCCAGTGATTTTAACGCAACAAGGCTGGCCAAGCCTTGCTTAGTTACCCTGGTTCCTTCGACAGTTTCATCAGTTCGTTTGTCATGACTTGTTCAGCATGGCTGCCCCGTAGCTGAAAAACATATCCTGCGCATCACAGTTTTTTGCACTACAAGAAGCACCCCCGTTCCCCCTTTGACACCACAGTTTCCCCACTTGCGCCACAAGAGTTCCGCCTGTGTACAGCAGTTTTCCCCCTTCGCACCACAAGAATTTCCAACGCATAACGCTGTTTCCCCGTTTGCACCACAAGAATAGCCCTTGTATACTGCAGATTCCCATTTGCGCCACAAGAATTCTCCGTGTTTGCCGCAGTTCTCCCCTTTTATTTTGCACCGCAATAATTTCCGACGCATACCGCAGTTTGCACCACGCGAAGTCCAGCTGTATTCCGTGGATTCCCTCCTTTGCACCACCCAAAAATCGTCTAGTTTCCCGCATTTGCGCCACAAGAATTCTCGCTGTGTACAGCAGTCAGCAGTTTTCCCCTTTGCACCACAAGAAGTTCCCACGTATATATAGCGCAATTTTCCCCCATTGCACCACGAGAATTGCCTTCCTTTGCACCACGAGAATTTCCCGTGCTTTCCCCTTGTGTGGCACAAGAATTCCGCTTGTATACAGCAGTTTTCCCCCAAATTTGCATCACAAGTTCCACGCATACCGCAGTTTCCCCTCCCCCTTTGCACCACAAGAATTCCACCTGTCTACTGCAGTTTTCCAATTCCGCAGGTTTATTGCAGGTTTGCCCTTTTGCAAGAGAACAACTGCCCCTATTCTGCAGCTTTCTCTCTTCGCACCATGAGAAGTCCCCCTGTTTACCCACAGATTCCCTCTGTGCACCACAATAATCCTGCGCGGTTACTGCAGCGCCCTTGTTGCACCACAATGATAGCCTCTTTGCGTCGCAGTTTTCCCGCTTGTGCACAACCGAACTATACCGCAGTTTTCCCCACAAAACGTCCGCCCGCGTACAGTCTTCCCCCTTTGCGCCACACTATTTTCCCCGTTTGCACCCCAATCTCCCACATATACCGCAATTTTCCTTCCCCCTTTGCACCACGAGAATTGGTGCGAAGAGGATGTTCTCAGGGAGGATGAAGTGGCCTGAGCAACGCCAAGCGGGAGGCGCCGGCATTCTTGTGGCGCAGAAGGGGGAAGTTGTAATAGACACGCGGAACTCTGAAGGGGGGGGGAAACCTGCTGTATAAAAGGGCAATTCTTGTGGTGCAAGGGGGGAAAACTGGCGTTCACAAAGGAAAACTGGGGAATTCTTGTGGTGCAAAGGGGGAAATCTGTAGAAAACAAGGACGACCAGACCACTCTTGGTTGGTGCAAAGGAAAAACTCTGTTGTGCGTTGGATGTTCTTGTGGTGTGAAGGGGGAAGCCACGGCATACAGCTAGACTTCTCGTGGTGCAAAAGGGGAAAACTGCGGTATAGATCATGTGAACACATGTCACGGCTCGTAGGTTGGTGTAGTTCTTGTGGTGGCTTTTTTGAATTTAGCCGGGCACAGTGGATTCTTGTGTGCAAAAGGGGGAAACCTCTTGTGGGTGCAAAGGGGGAAAACCTCTGTGGTGCAGAGGGGGATACTCTTGTGGTGAAAAGGGGAAACCTCTCTGTGGTGCAAAGGGGAAACACTTGTGGTGAAGGGGGAAACTGCTTGCTTACACGCGGTGCAAGGGTGAAGCACCTGTGTGCAAAGGGGAAACTCTTGTGGCGCAAAGGGGGGAACTCTTGTGGTGCAAAGAGGGAAACTCTTGTGGTGACGGGGGGGGAACTCTTGTGGTGCAGAGGGGGGAACTCTTGTGGTGCAGAGGGGGAAACTCTTGTGGTGCAAAGGGGGAAACTCTTATGTGTGCAAAGGAAACTGCTGGGTGCAAAGGGGGAAAACCCCTCTTGTGGTGCAGAGGGGAAATTCTGTGGTGCAAGGGGAAACTCTTGTGGTGCCAAGGGGAAACTCTTTGTGGTGGCAAAGGGGGAAAAACCCTCTTTGGTGCAAAGGGGACTCTTACACCTTGTGGGTGCAAAGGGGGAAAACCTCTTATACTCTTGTGGTGCAAAGGGGGAAACTCTTGTGGTGCAAAGGGGGGAACTCTTGTGGTGCAAAGGGGGAAACTGCTGTGGTGCAAAGGGGGAAACTCTTGTGGTGCAGAGGGGGAAACTCCATTGTGGAGTGCAGAGAGGGGTAAACTCTTGTGGTGCAGAGGGGGGAACTCTTGTGGTGCAGAGGGGGAAACTCTTGTGGTGCAAAGGGGGAAACTCTTGTGGTGCAGAGGGGGAAACTCTTGTGGTGCAAAGGGGAAACTCTTGTGGTGCAAAGGGGGAAACTCTTGTGGTGCAAAGGGGGGAACTCTTGTGGTGCAAAGGGGGAAACTCTCTTGTGGCAAAGGGGGAAACTCTTGTGGGCAAAGGGGGAAACTCTTGTGGTGCAGAAGGGGGAGAACTCTTGTGGTGCAAAGGGGGAAACTCTTGTGGTGCAAAGGGGGAAACTCTTGTGGTGCAAAGGGGGAAACTCTTGTGGTGCAAAGGGGGAAACTGGTGGGTGCAAAGGGGGAAACTCTTGTGGTGCAGAAGGTGGGGGGAAACTCTTGTGGTGCAAAGGGGGAAACTCTGTGTGGTGCAAAGGGGGAAACTGAAAGGGGGAAACTCTTGTGGTGCAAAGGGGGAAACTCTTGTGGTGCAGAGGGGGAAACTCTTGTGGTGCAAAGGGGGAAACTCTTGTGGTGCAAAGGGGGAAACTCTTGTGCAGTCTTGCAAAGGGGGAAACTCTTGTGGTGCAAAGGGGGAAACTCTTGTGGTGCAAAGGGGGAAACTCTTGTGGTGCAAAGGGGGAAACTCTTGTGGCGCAGAGGGACAACCGAGCCCCGTGCGAAGAGCTGGAGGTCAGCAGGCGACGAGCTGGACAGGCGCCTGTCAAGGGAAACAATGGGCAAAAGTGCATTTTCCTTGTTTTCCATGCCATCTCCAGGCCTGCCATCCAATTTCCCTTTTTCCGTGTTTCTGCCACCGAGTTGTCCATGCCATCTCCATAATCATATCCAGACCCCAAATTTCCTTGCTTTTTGCTACGGGGAAAACCTGGCTTCCCTTTCCCACCCGGGAACTCTTGTGGTGCAAAGGGGGAAACTCTTACTCTTGTGGTGCAAAGGGGGAAACTCTTAAAGGGGGAAACTCTTGTGGTGCAAGGGGGGAAACTATTGTGGTGCAAAGGGGGAAACTCTTGTGGTGCAAAGGGGGAAACTCTGGCGGCGCAGAGGCTGAGGGACAACTGAGCCCCGTGCGAAGAGCTGGACAGGCGCCTGTCTGCAGGCGACGAGCTGGACTGCGTGCGCCTGTCAAGGGAAACAAATGGGCACAAGTGCATTTTCCTAGTTTTCCATGCCATTTCCAGGCCTGACATCCAATTTCCCCGCTTTTTCCGTGTTTCTGCCACCTAGTTTTCCATGCCATCTCCATATCCAGACCCCAAATTTCCTCGCTTTTTCCGTGTTTTTCCGTGTTTTTGCTACGGGGAAAACTTGGCTTCCCTTTCCACCCTTTCCGTGTTTTTGCTACGGGGGGTTTTCCATGCCATCTCCAGGTCCATATCCAGGCCCCAAATTTCCCCGCTTTTTCCGTGTTTTTGCTACGGGGAAAGCTTGGCTTCCCTTTCCACCCTTTTAACGGAACCCAAATCAGAACCCATTCCGCGCGCGTAGGGCGGCGCTTTGGGGTCCCGGGCACGTGATGTCTTGTTGCGGAGTCTGGCTCCGCGCGGCGCATGTCTGGTTGCCATCGTGTCCTGCAAGCGCATGTCTTGCGCAGTGCAAGCTTTA